GATTGCACAGGGTGTGTGCAGGCCTTTTCAGAAAGTCAGGATCAGAGTTCTGGGCTCCACCCCGGCAGATAGGAGTCAGGAGGGCTCTGCTTGGAAGACGGGAGGTCACTGCCTGGAAGTCAGGTGGGCTCCACCTAGGAGAGGTGGAAGCCAAAAGCAGCAAGGGGCTGCTAGAGTCTAGTTGTGTGCTAGTGGCCAGCTGTGTGCACGAGCCATAAGTCTTGAAGAAGTCTGCAGGAGACAGACATGAAGATTGTATATCTGAGAGAGCCAGGAGGCTAAATTTTGTTTTGTGGATGATCGATACACCTGTGTGGGAAACTTCTGTTTGAACTTTCTTGTAAATAAAAGTGGGCTAAAAAAGGCCTTGAAAAATAAGTGAGTAGCTGTGTGCGTTTAAAAGCTCTACCACGTTGAAGTGAGTTCCCACATATGGTGGCGGATGCAGTGGGCAGAATTGGAGATCCCGGCGATTGAAGTTCATCAGTTATATGAACTGTTGGGTGCATATGTCTGCACTAGCTGTGTGTGCAGGTGAGGAGAACCTGCTAAAGAAAAGGACTTTGCCTTTAAAGAGACAGTGTTCCATGGTGTTGCTGAACTGTGTAACACACTGCTGTGTGCATGACTGCAAAGATGGGGCGGTCAAAACAGAAAAAGGAGGCAATGTTTGCTGAAGCGAGAGAGAGAGCCCTGTGGCTAGGGGGTTATATACCGCATGCCCCAGCCAAGCCGGGAAATTTAGATGTGGGTGAGTCTGCTGTGGACTGGTGCAAGCGGCACCTGGCAGCATTGAACCAACCTAAAGAGGAAAGCAAGCCTATGCTATGTGCAAGGAGAGGGGCTGAGCAGAGGCCAGGACCAAGAGTGAAGGCCCATAGCAACACAGAGGAGGACAGTCAGGCTGTCTGTGTACAGGGGGCTGTGTCGTACAAGGATCATGGCAAGTGGCATCAAGAGGAGCCAATACAGCGTGTTGGAAAGAGCCAGCAAAGTTCTGCTTGGAGAGTGCAATCTCCCATGGCGACCGGGAGAAAAAGTAGTGCCTGGAAGGAGGAGCTGCATTGAAGATGTGGCTCAGTGTCCCAACAAAGATAAGAGTGGAAATGTACCATGCCTGGAATGTGGTCAGTGGGGGCATGGGATCTTTTCCTGTCCTAGACTCTGGAATACCGCTGATACTGGGCAAATGTCTACAACATCAAGCCCAGATTCTTGTTTGAAAATGTTGGCAGCCGCCTCTGGCAACAGGGAGGAAGTTCCTGTTGGGCCTGCAGGGGGTGCCAGAGAGTCCATGGAGCCTATGATGGCGTCTGTTACTTCACCTTGGGGCAAGGGAAAAGTTGCCAAGGAAAGTGCAGTTGAAGATGCGTTTATGAGACGACGCACTCAAATGAAGATGGCAACACCTACTACTGTGGTGGGTAAGACTGTGTGTGTGATAAAACCATGGCTGGGACTGTCATGTTGAGAAGGACTGGTTATGAGACTGTCCATTCTGATGTAGGAGTGACCCCAGTTAGTTGGGCCACTGAATGTGCTTTTGAGAGTGACTTTTCCCTGTGCAGTGCCTTGTACAGTGGGGAGGTAGGAATTAAAGTAAAACCTGTGCATGGTTCTCAAAAAGCAAATGATGTCACTAATGTGTGCCAGTCACAGGTTGGTAGTAGGCTAGTACAGCCCACAAGAGCTACAAATGCTGATGATGTTGTTGTGAAATGTACTGCTGTTGGGAAAACCCTGAGCTCTTGCAGTGCAAAAGCTGTAATTAAAGATGGGTCATTTCCCATAGCAACTGGTGGTAAGACAGCACAGGTGTCCTTAGACATCTCCAGGGGTCTCCGTGTATTGGAGCCGGAGGTTGCCCTGGACAACTGCGATGTCACTCTGGTGGAGCAGAGTGTAACTGCACCTTGTCATAGGAGTGTGTTGGTGCAGTCTAACAATACGAAAAGTGTTCAGGTGAACAGCAGGTTAATGCAGCCTGGCAAAAATGCAAATGTGTGTGTAATTCAGGAAGCACCACCAGAGGAAAGTGGTGGATGTGAGGTATTGCAACCTGCAGTTGGAAAACAGGTGTTACCCAAGTCTGCGTGATCCAGAGTGATTTGTGCAATGGATCTGCAACTAATCCCATCTATTCTTATGTGTCTCCTTGGGCGGATGGTTCGGTGCCTGAGGAGCACTGACGAATTGAGCACATATACAATGGATTGGGATAGTTGGGGTAAAAGGCTAATCTCGTTGATAGATGAGGTTTTTATGCAAAAAAAATAAGGTGGACAATGTTTCTGCTGTGCCAGCAGGAGGATCTATAGAACAGCCTATAGATAAGGGCGTGTATACAGCCGAGACTTTGTCTGTGACCCACAAAAGTGATGTTGGCATGGAGGGTCAAAATGATGTTGTCACTGGGAATGATCAGGGGCAGCTTGTGGATGCTGAGTCTGAGATGTTGAGAGTGAGCCCAGCACATGGCAGCGCTCTGGTGGAGCACCAGGCTGTGGTTATCTCCAGCTTGGAGAAGGTCCCTTTAAAAAATTTCAACTTCTCAAGTCTCAGCAGGTGAGTCTCTCAGCGTTCCCAGTGCCCTAAATATGGTCAGGAAGGTCTTAGGTTTAGAGTCAAGTGGTTGGGTTGTAACCAAAGTATTAAAGGAGATGCTTGAACTTTGGAATGTACAACCAATGTATACTGGGGTGTCTCCTCCACAGTCGGATGGTCTGGTACTGCGGAGTACCACTAGGTGGAGCACCGAATGGCTGGCTGTACAGATCAAAGGGAAACAAGAAAGTTGTTTGTTTCGGAATTTGTTGATGGTGTTAAAAGTTGTATCAGGGTATGCTGCTGGACTACCTGTAAATGTGATATATGAGAAATGTCTTGGAGTATTGGAAAATGAGTCAAAAAAAGTTTCACCTCCTAACAGCCAGGTGGGAAGCATTTCTGCTGCTATGGTCCAGGATGGTGCTGATCAGTTGTCAGTGAAGGGTGTGTGTTGACTGCACCATTGGACAAACCACATGAGATGGAAGGGCCGGCATGGACCAGAGAACAGCAGAGATCCTGACCAAGGCTCAAATGGATGTGCATCAAGAAATCAGGGTCATTGGGCCAAAAAGAGATTTATGTAGCAGGTCTGATAAGACACCTGAAATACAGGGAGAAATGGTATGTGAAAACTGGCAAAATGGATCAAAAGAGAGCTCATCTGTACCGGGTTTGGATACAGATGTAAGTGGTGTAGGAAAAGCTAAAATGGTTGGACAGCTGCCTGCAGAGTGCATGACACCAGGTGAAGTGGCATTTTGTGAGGTTCACGTGGGTGATGGCTGCCCTATGGTGTGTGTGCCCTCTACAGACACTGTCCTAACAAATGCTGGAAAAGATATTGAGAGGTGTGATATTGACTGGAATATAACTGTTCATGGTAAACTGAATGCTGTGGTAATGAGTCATGCAGGTTGGATAGCTAAAGGTACAAGAAATCAGGGGGGTGGTCCTGGTACAAATACAGTAGAAATAGTTCCCCTACAGCCTTGGGACAGGAATACTGAGAGAGGTATTAGGAAACCTGAGCACCTGAAGCAAAGGGGCAGAAAGGTCGATAGAAAGGCCAGGGGGACCCCGTTAGGATTTCAGAGAGAGAAAGTGTTTATGGAAGTGCACCCGGAAAAAGAATAGGGAAGGTCTGAGTAGAGCCCATAGCAGAGTGACAATGGGGCTTGGGGAGAGACACCAAAGGAGTCATTGGGTAGAGATCCCCTTTAGGAAAGGTATGGTTGGACCAGATTTGGACCCCTGTAAGTGAGAGATGGCACAGAGGTGCCAGAAGGTATAAGTTGTGTGTTCTGCCCCCTACGGGATCAAAACAAAGGGGGGGGGGATATGTGACAGTGTGGCGACCTGTCACCCTGGATTCTCAACAAGGCAGGTTGAGGGGCTCCAGGATAAAGGTTTGATATGGAGGAAAGTGGCTTTTCACTTTCCTCCTTTGTTTGTAAGGTCCATTTTGGGAGCTGGAGCCTGGAGATTTCAAAGCGATTTGGGAGGGATGAAATCTCCAATCCTGGGACCAGGTTTTGGGAATGGCCAGGAGACTGATTGCACAGGTGTGTGCAGGCCTTTTCAGAAAGTCAGGATCAGAGTTCTGGGCTCCACCCCCGTAGATAGGAGTCAGGAGGGCTCCGCTTGGAAGACGGGAGGTCACTGCCTGGAAGTCAGGTGGGCTCCACCTAGGAGAGGTGGAAGCCAAAAGCAGCAAGGGGCTGCTAGAGTCTAGTTGTGTGCTAGTGGCCAGCTGTGTGCACGAGCCATAAGTCTTGAAGAAGTCTGCAGGAGACAGACAGGAAGATTGTATATCTGAGAGAGCCAGGAGGCTGAATTTTGTTTTGTGGATGATCGATACCCCTGTGTGGGAAACTTCTGTTTGAACTTTCTTGTAAATAAAAGTGGGCTAAAAAAGGCCTTGAAAAATAAGTGAGTAGCTGTGTGCGTTTAAAAGCTCTACCACGTTGAAGCGAGTTCCCACAATAGATACATATTACATATATCACTCTCTAATTCTCCATATCTCCCTCTCTCATATATACAGTATACAGTGCTGTGCAAAAGTATTTGCCCCTTTCCAGATTTTTTGCAATATTTGTCACACTTAAATGATTCAGATCATCAAACAAATTTTAATATTACACAAAGAGAACCCATGTAAATACAAAATGCAGTTTTTAAATGATGATTTCATTTATTAAGGGAAAAAAGCTGTCCAAACCTACTTGACTCTATGTGAAAAAGTAATTGCCCCCTAAACCTAACAACTGGTTGTGCCACCATTGGCAGCAACAACTGCAATCAAGCGTTTGCGATAACTAGCAATGAGTCTTTCACATCACTGTGGAAATACTTTGGACCACACTCTTCTTTGCAGAATTGTTTTAATTGAGCCTCATTGGAGGGTTTTCGATCATGAATGACCTGTTTTTAACCACTAGCCTACCCCCTTTTTCTCCTTCACTGACGTGCGCTAATGAGGCTGCAGTGATGGGCACTAATAGGCTGCACTGATGGGCACTGATGAGGAGGCACTGGTAGGTTGCACTGATGGGCATTGACAGGCATCACTGATGGGCACTGAAAGGCAGCACTGATACATGACACTGGTAGGCAGCACTGACTGGCACTGATAGTTGGCACTGACTGGCACTGATAGTTGGCACTAGGCGGACTGACTGGCACTGATAGGCGGCACTTGTCACAGATCCACGGTCGCCGCCACCAACATGCGACAATCGCACGGCCGCGACTAACCGTAATACCTCACGCCCACAGCGTCAGACCCCAGGCCTTCTCACCAAACTCGTGACCGAAGGAACGGCTGATCAAAAACCGCGGTGTGACGCTCGTAACAAGGCCCCACCCAGCTGCACCCTGCACAGCGTTTGTCCAGCTAATGGGCTACAATGAGTCTGCCCAATACAATATGTTGGGCAGGATGTCAGTGGACTCAGTTAAAACTAACAGCTTCATAATCCCTGACATGAAACATAGGGGAAAAAAACTTGAGAAATGTTCAACTTTCTTTCGAGCTACCTTATCTGTTTTATGATGGGTGAACCTACACAGTTTTGTGTCAGTGCTTCCAAGTTCTCTGAGAAATGCTGGCCTTATCAGAACGTAGGTGAGAAAGGTTACATTTTCCCCAGACTGCTGGCACTAAACCAGGGATGCTTAACCTGGGCTGACCCACACCATCTGTCAGGAGATAACGTTTGCCTCTCAGGACTGCAGGGGGGTAGAGAATGAGGCTGAGGAATCAGAAATAAAAAGAAAAAAAAGGGAAAAGGAGAACTCCGCGTCCAACTCTGATGAGCAAGTTTGCTACAGCACTGACTGGCACTGATAGGCGACACTGACTGGCACTGATAGGTGGCACTGATTGGCAGCACTGATAGGTGGCACTGATTGGCATTGATAAACTGCACTGACTGGCACTGATGGGTGACACTGAAAGGCAGCTCAGATGGGCACTGATATGTGGCATTGATGTGCACTGATATGCACTGATATGTGGCATTGATATGGCACTGATGGGCACTGGCATGTGGCACTGATGGGCACTGGCACGTGGCACTGATGAGCACTGACAGGTGGCACTTCTGGGGCCACACTGATCATCAGGGTACATTGATCATCAGTGCCCTGATGATCAGTGTACATGTCCCCTTCGCGAAAAAACCGATTACCGGCTCTCCTCTCCTCTCGAGCTGTCAGTGTGACAGCTCGAGAGCAGAGAAATGCCGATAACCAGCATTTCCGTGTTTACATGTGATCAGCTGTGATTTGACACAGCTGATCACATGACCGAGCCGACATCTTCGGCTCTTTCCATGATCCGAGGGACACAGCGCACCGGCGATCGCCGCGCTGTGCGCTCCCTGAGCCGCGCATGCGCAGTGAGAATGGTAGTCCTATCAGAACGAGAGAACCACCTTGCGCCCATCATTGTACTATAGGGCGGGCGGAAGGTGGTTAAAGTCATACCACAGCATCTCAATCAGATTTAGGTCCAGACTTTGACTAGGCCACTAAAAAAACCTTAATTTTGTTTGTTTTTTGATTCATTCAGAGGTGGACTTGTTGGCGTGTTTCGGATCATAACCTGCTGCATAACTCAAGTGCACTTGAGCTTGAGGCCAGGAACAGATTGCCGGACATTCTCCTTCAGGCGCAGGATTCATGGTTACCTCAATTATGGCAAGTCGTCCTGGTCCTGAAGCTGCAAAGCAGCCCCAGACCATCACACTACCACCACATTTGACTGTTGCGATGATATTCTTTTATTAAATACTCTGTTCGTTTTAGTAGATGTAACGAGATGCACACCCTCCATAAAGTTCAACCTTTGTCTCATCAATCCACAGAATATTTGCCCAAAAGTCTTGGGGATAATCATGATATTTTTTTGGTAAATATGAGATGAGCCTTTGTGTTCTCCTTTTTGGTCATTAGTGACTTTTGCCTTGGAACTCTTCCATGGATGCCATTTTGCCCAGTCCCTTATTGTTGAATCATGAACACTGACCATAACTGAGGCAAGTGAGACCTGCAGTTCTTTAGATTTGTTCTGGGTTCTTTTATGACGTCCTGGATGTCGTTTGTGCACTCTTGGAGTAATTTTGGTAGGCTGGCCACTCCTGGGAGGGTTCACCCCTGTTCCAAGTTTTCTGCATTTGTGGATAATTGCTCTCACCGTGGTTCGCTGGAGTTTCCAAAGCCTTCGAAATAGCTTTGTAACCCTTTCCAGACTGACACATGTCAATTACTTTGTTTCTTATGTGTTCTTGGATTTCTTTAGGGCATGGCACAATGTGTTGCTTTTTGAGATTTTATAGCATGCTCCACATTGTCAGACAGCTTCTATTTAAGTGATTTCTCGATTCAACAGTAATCTGGCAGTAATCACTGTTCATTCATGATGAACTGAAGGGGGCAATTACTTTTTCACTTAGGGTCTGGCAGGTTTGGACAACTTTTTTCCCTCAACAAATTAAATCATCATTTTAAAAACTGCATTTTGTATTTACTTGGGTTATCAGGAATATCAACAATCAGGAAGGGGGCAAATAGTTTTTCACAGCACTCTATCTATCTATCTATCTATCTATCTATCTATCTAGTATATACACCTTTCTCCCCTCCCTCTCTTTCCTCCTTTCCTTTTTTCTTCTCCTTCTCTCTCCTCTCTTTGCTCCCTCTTTCTTCTCTTCCTTCTCTCTTCCCCCTCCTCTTTCTCCCTTCTCTCTCTCTCTTCCCCCCTCCCTTATCTCTTGCTTACTTTTCCTATTTCTCTCCTCTCCCCTGCCCCACCTTCTCTTTTCTCTCTCATTTTTCTACTCTCTACTTTCTCTCTCTTAAAGAGTATGTTAACCCAATGTCAGGGTCCTGTGCACGGCAGAAGTTCTGGAAGATCTGGCATTTCTGCCAGTACTCTGCATGGCCGCAGAAGTACACATTAGCCTCAGTTTGGTGCCAGACAGCCTTTATAAGGAGGCTCATCATTTCCTCAAGTTGCTGGATGATCTCTAGCTCCCTGTGCCCTGTTACTGGTTCCTGTGATTCTGACCTGTGATTTCCTGTTACCGACTCGGCTTGCTCCTGGACCTGTCTACTCTGTTTTTCCCCTGATCTGACCTCGGCTTGGTTTACGGATACTATCTCTCTCGCTCCTCTGTGTATGACCTCGGCTATCCCATCTGACTATGTCTGCTCTGATTCCCACCTGGTACCTGACCTTGGCCCATAGTTCGGGCTATGTAATACCCCTGCAACGTTTCAACATTTTGGGAACGACATCTTTAGAGAGTACCTTGACCTTTTTGTGATTGTCTACCTGGATGATATCCTAATTTTCTCTACCTCACTGGAACTCCATCATGATCACGTTAGGAAAGTGCTAAACACTCTAAGGATGCATGGCTTGTACGGCAAGGTGGAGAAGTGTGAATTTGAGAAGCAGTCCATCCAGTTCCTGGGGCTCATAATTTCCATCGAGGGAATCTCCATGGACCCTCAGAAAGTATCTGCTATCCTGGATTGGCCTGCACCTTCAGATAGGAAAGTGGTCCAAAGATTCGTCGGTTTCGCCAACCTTTATCGGAAATTTATTAAGGGCTTTTCATTGCCCCTATTACTCAACTCATCCACCAGCATACACGATTTTGCTGGAGCCAGGAAGCTCAAAAAGCGTTTAGCAATTCACCTCCTCCTGTGTTACAGCATCCAGAGCCAACACTCCCCTTCATCCTGGAGGTGGATGCATCTGAAGTTGCTGCAGGAGCCGTACTCTCCCAGCGCCAGGGCCCAAAGGCTCTGCTTCACCCAATAGCCTTTTGTTCTAGAAAAATGAGCCAAGCCGAAAGGAACTATGATGTGGATGATAGGGAACTTTTAGCGATTAAGATAGCCTTCGAAGAATGAAGATATCTCTTGGAAGGAGCCAGCCACCCAATTATGCTTTTCACAGATCATAAAAATCTGGAGTATCTAAGATCAGCCAAGCGCCTAAGATCTCGACAGGCAAGATGGGCTTTATAGTTCTCCAGGTTTAACTTCCACATAACCTACCACCCAGGATCCAAGAACGGGAAGGCAGATGCCCTTTCCCGCATGTTCCCGGACCCAGAGCAGCCTTCTCCCCCCAACACCATTTTGTTTTGTTGCTGATCCAACCCAGCCTAAAGTCTTCATTCATGCAGGCCTCTGCACTATGTTCTGAACCCGAACAAGATTTACTTAGAAGGCAGGATGGTCTTCTGTGGCACAAGAATAAAATCTTTGTACCTCAAGAAGTGAGGTCTCAAGTTTTCAGGGCTTTCCATGACCATCAACTGGCTAGACACTTTGGAGCCCGTAAGACAATGGAACTAATCCAGCGATCCTTCTGGTGGCCCAACTTGAATCAGGACTGTAGAGCTTATGTGAAGTCGTGCAGTGTGTCTGCGGAACAAGGGAGACAAAGCCAAGGCCTGGGGGTTGCTGAGGCCCCTGCCCATTCCTGATCGTCCCTGGGAGATGGTCACAATGGACTTCATTATGGATTTGCCGTCGGAGGGGTTTACTACCATTCTGGTAGTAGTGGATCGGCTATCCAAGATGGGCCACTTTTTACCAATGGTGGGTACTCCATCCGCACCAGAGAATGCACTAACTTTCATCAAAGAGATTGTCAGGTTGCATGCTCTGCCCAGCAAAATCGTCTCAGACCGAGGGGTGCAGTTTACGTCCAGGTTCTGGAGAGCCCTCTGCAAGGCCCTGAAGGTGGAACTCTGCTTATCGTCTGCCTACCATCCCCAGAGTACCGGCAAACAGAGTGAACGAACCAGACTTTGGAGCAATATTTACGGTGCTTCTCTGCTTTTTCTCAGGATGACTTGGCATCCCTACTCCCATTGGCAGAATTTGCCTACAACAATTCAGTCCATTCTGCTACAAACCAGTCACCATTTTGGGCCAATTATGGATTCCACCCTTCCTCCATACCTGACACCATTCCGAAGCTTCGGTACCCGCAGTACAGGACAGACTCTCCATGCTACAGAACTGTAAAGTCCTCAGAGTCTATACTGAAATCCCAGGCTGATTATAATAAACACTACGACAGGAAACGGAGAGGAAACCCTCCTCTGAAGATTGGAAACAAAGTTTGGCTATCAACTGCCAATCTAAAACTGCCTTACCCGTCACGTAAGTTGGGTCCAAAGTACATTGGCCCTTTCCGGATCAAGAGGGAAATCAATCCAGTGGCGTTTGAGCTGTTCCTTCCAAAGTCATACAAGATCCACCCAGTTTTCCACGTCTCCCTACTCAAGCCAGCTGTTCCTGATCCTTTTCCAGGGAGAGTAGAACAACCTCCTCCGCCGATAACAGTTGGGGAGGAGACGGAATACGAGGCTGAAGCAATTCTGGACTGCAGAAGGTGCGGAAGACAAATCCAGTACCTGGTCAGATGGAAGGGGTACCCACCTAAAGAAAGATCCTGGGAACCAAAAGGCAATGTACATGCCCCCAGGCTTCTCCAAGAATTTCATTCCAAGTATCCTGAAAAGATGGCCCAGGTGGGCATCCGGAGGCTGCCCTTTGGGGGGGGGGGGAGCATTATCAGGGTCCTGTCCACGGCAGAAATTCTGGAAGATCTGGCATTTCTACCAGTACTCTGCATGGCCGCAGAAGTGCACATCAGCCTCAGTTTGGTGCCGGATGGCCTTTATAAGGAGGCTCATCACTTTCTCAAGTTGCTGGTTGATCTCTAGCTCCCCGTGCCCTGTTCCTGTTTCCTGTGATTCTGACCTGTGATTTCCTGTTGCCGACTCGGCTTGCTCCTGGACCTGTCTACTCTGCTTTACCCCTGATCTGACCTTGGCTTGGTTTACGAATACTCTCTCTCTCGCTCCTCTGTGTATGACCTCAGCTATCCCATCTGAATATGTCTGCTCTGATTCCCACGGTACCTGACCTTGGCTTGAACCGACTACCCAGTAAACATCTAAATCCCGGAAGGGCTTACATACCACGCACAGGCGCCTCCTGTCTGCAGACCTATCTTTGTGCACCAGCTGTGCTTCTGAGTGGACCACCAACCAGCACTCCTACAGGCGACCTGTGCAACTTTGGTCCAGACTCCCGCTGTCCCACTCTCAGGGG